TTCTCTTTAAAAAAACAAAACAAAAATGTTTCAGCACTGGTCACAGATCAATGAAGCAATTCATTACCTTAGCAACTTAAATATTTATAATAATAAAAGGTTTTAAAGAAAGATATCAAAGTTATGCCACCACAAAATATTGGAACAAAACATTGTAGGCCTGATATTCTTATCAGGGTGTTTGAATATTTTGTTACATCTCGGTCATTATATAACAGACTTCAAGATGATTTAAAGTTACTAAATGTAAGAACACTGTCAGCTTTGACATCATAAGTCTAAAAATTAAATGACTTCAATTTCCTTGGTGATATCATACTTATTATAAAACCCAGGTTGTGTGTGTGTGTTCATTTATGTATTGGATCGGATTTCCTACATTTTTCAACCGATTTCAACAAAACTTCACAGGACTACGTAAAATTACATTGCAGTGGTTCTGACAGTGCCAAAAATTGGAAAAACACAATTGTTTTTGCACAAAATCAATTTGAAAACACGATTAAGAATCATTGCTATTGTGAGAATGAAAGGGGGACAACTCGTATCGAGTTATACTTATTATAAAACCCAGGTTGTTTGTTTGTGTGTGTGTGTGTGTGTGTGTGTGTGTGTGTGTGTGTCTGTATTCGTTTATATATGGGATCAGATTTCCTACATTTTTCAACCGATTTCAACAAAACTTCTTTTTTTTTTTTGGCAGGTAGTTTTTCTTATTGTCTGGCACCCTTTTTTTATTTTATTTTTACATTCAGAATGCTCTAAAAATTCCATTTACAAGACAATTGTTTATAATAAAATTCTATTCAATCGGTAGACTCATGACGATTGAAAACAATGTTTTTGTTTGAGTTTGGGTTTGACCAATTCGTAAAAAAACAAAAACAAAAAAAAAACTAATTAAGACATGCATGTCCATCAACCTTAAACAATAATCTTTGTCAATTTTATTTTTCAGTCTTTATGATGGTCGATACTTGATCTATCTCTTACTGTTACATCCCCAGGAAACACCGGGCTCTACTGCTAGTCATTAATAAAATCTCTGAAAATCAGAAAAGCTCTATTCTTTCAGTTGATGAAGTTTATGTCAAAGTTGCTGTACAGTATCAGGGAGGAAATTTACTTGGTTTTGCTGAAGATTCTGAGATTAAAAAAAAAAAAACAAACAAAAAAAAAAAACAATACTGCGCATCATGGTAAAATGTTTAAATGATGAACCAATATTTTTTTTTTGATCCCAGTTGCCAATTAGAGGCAAATCTTTTATATGAAAAGTTCCATATATAGTTGATGCAAGAAAACAAACAGTTAAGTAATTGAAATTTTATGCGATAATAACAGGACGAATCAATCTTTTTAAAAAAATTTTTGACAGTTTTTAAAAAGCCTTGGCTAACTAAAAATGGCTTACAATAACTTTTTTATTATTTTCACTTATCTAAAAATATTTTAAATAATTGTATGACTGAAGCTTCTTCTGAATTAATATTTTATTGTGAAAGCAAAAAATATGACAACAAAATAGGAACTTGTAAAAGTTCATTTTGTGTGTGGAAAAAATCTCAAATTTTGTAAAATTGTTTTGTGATCAAACTCTAGCTGCAATGCAAACTGATGCATTATTAAATGGAGAGGATACTGCTGAAACTGCTCATTTCATTGAAAAAAGTCTTGTAATTTGGGATAATTGTCAGTGAAGTTCATGATAATCCAATGAAGAAAGTGATATCAGATTTAGATGATGAACATTGACATTTCTTTTTAATTTTCAGAAAAAATAAAACAAATTATGGCAGCAAAGCAGGAAAAAAGGTTGAATAATTTACAAGGGACACTAGTTTAGCTATTGAGCATATGTGCAATTGTTTAGTTGATGTTTGTAGATATTTGCTAATCAGTAGGTTTAATCTTGTTATGCTTGGTGAATTTACCCCAGACTATTTGAAAAATTAAAACAGGGTTCTGGTCGTGCATATTTTATAATAGTGTAAAATATTATTGAATATTAAGTAACCTAAATTACTTTTTCAATTGAATGTTGCTGCTAAAGAATATAACTTTTATCTAGGCCATGACTCTCAAAATGTGGATATTCATGTGATGAAATGGCATACCTACATTTGATAACTTAAGAGTCCTTTAAACTAGGATGTCTAAAGATATTAAATTGTCACTTTTGTATATAGCGGTTTATGTTACAAAGAAAACAGATGTCTCACAGAAGAAGAAATATTTAATAAAATTTTTTATTTTCAAAAATATTAAAAATTTTCGTAATGGTTCAAGATAATTTAAAACTTTTACTTCACCGTTCAGTGGGGATTTTTTCTCTTTCATAATGTTTGGTGTTGTTAAAACTCACAAGAATTCTTTGACAAAAATCTTTGTTACTTTCTGAAATGCATCATATCAACATGAAAAGAGATAAAATGAAATTATATTGTCAAATTATTTGTTCTCCTCAGGCAGCTCAAGAACCAGCACTAAAAGTTTTGAAATGTTTAGACAATTCCTTTGTACAATTCCCATTAAGGCTCAATATTAAGAATTTATATTTTTTTTCAAGGAGTTAAAATATGCTCATGAAGTGACATTTAAAATGATATCCTTATCCATTCAGAGAAACAATTCTCCACATTTTTTTTAAATCAGTATCAAGGCAATAAAGCCACTAAGACATAAGGGGTTACAACAGGGTGTGGAAGAATTAGAAATAAAAACATTATTAATTAGCGGGAAGAGGAAAGAGTAATCAGGAGGACAAGATATAGTGATTGACATTGCATTTAAATTTTTGAAGATTAAAATTAACTGGAAAGCATGGAGCCAGAAAGGAGTTCCACAAATGAGAAGTGTGAGAAAAGAAACTGTTAGCATAGAAATTATGGCTACAACTCAACTGTAAACTGATGAAATCTCAACACTAGTCTAGTACTATGCTTAAATTCAAAAAGTTTAGGTACCATTGCAAATAGCCGTCAAATAAGGACCAATAATATTGCTGATTTTTCTTTGGATTTTATCAAGGAGCTCAAAGTAAATCGCAGGAGCACTGGACCATATGTGGCAGCAATATTCTAATCATGTAATTGGTTCTCACTCCAAATTACTCTGTTAATGAATTTACTATCCTTATTAATGGAAATAAATTTTGATTATTGTTAAAACCATGCTTATTGGTAATATCTATTGTCATATCAAATCACAGAATATCAGTGAAATAAAAAAAAATCCCTGAATAAAATTTACAAAAATTATCAAAATTATTGCTTATCTGAAATTCAATATGTTTTTCTTCAAATATTTTCAGACTTTGTTGATACACGATTTGGCAAAATGTTGAAATTATTTGTTCTATGCTTTTAATTACTTATTATAAACAAACTGATTCATTATTTATGCAATATCATTCAAAAATGTTCCTAATTTGTAATGAAGTGAGTTTTTATGCGTTTAATTGGCAGAGGAGGTTAGATTTGTTCTTTCTTTGTACATTTGCATTTACAGAAATAAGTCAGTAATTGTTAGTTGTAAGGTACTTTCTTATAGTTGTTAATCAACCAATTACTGGATATTGCTAATAATTTTCTTGCTGAAAATGTTTTCAGTAATTGTTATTTAGTAGTAATTTAGGCAACCACATGCCCACCTACAGTTGTAGACTCCTGGTGCATGGCTACCAGGTATATGATATATACGTTTTTGCCTAGACAGTTAAAGAAATGACAAAAATATTAAAGTAACTACAATACAATTATAAAATTATTTTCCTCTTTTATATGCAACTTAAAAATCTGGGAGCTAAAAATATTCCGAAACAAATCATGACATTTTATTTACTAATTACAAAATAACAGACAATTCTATTTATAGAATATCATCAGAAAAGTCCCCTCTTCTGGTGATGAAAAAAAAAGAATCATCTACTATCTATATTTCTCGTGTTGTCTGTCTGTGTGTCTGTCATGGGCATTGTTACCTCGCCCAGGCCGCATTTCTCACCTGATTTTGATGCAATTTTCACCACAAGTTTGAAAATGGCTGCTGTAAGGACATGACGGAGCCTAATTTTTGAGTTCAGACTCAGGTTCAAAAAAAAAAAAAAAAAAAAAAAAAAATCGATAATCAAAAAAATTGATAATCAAAAAAAATCTGCTTAGAAGGAATGATCGCATTTCAACCAAATTTGACACCCTTTTAGAGTCTACCATTAGAAATGTTGTCCAGAAGTTTCATGACCCCGGACTCCTAAACAGTGCGGAAAATCGATAAAACCCAAAAACTGATACGCCCAGATTGCGCCTGAACCGCATGTCGGTTTTTAGCGAAAACCGATCGGATTTATGAGGAGGCCATTGGGAGTCACCATGTGAAGTTTCAACTCTGAGCGCCCCCCACCAACAGAGTGCAAATCGACAATCGGTCAACCCTTAAAAATGTTTTTCCGGTTGGGTATTTCCTAAATGCAGATTAATTTAAGATCACGCTATGCATGGGAAGAAACAGGTCAGTGCGTGCAGTGGAGTGGAAGAAAACATTTGACCTCAAATTCTGGAATGGGTGCAAGGCCATTGAAATTCGGCTTTTTTATCCCTGCTACCAGGATTAATTGACAGCTTCCTGCTACCACAATTTATTTATTTGCTTAAACATTTGCATTACCTTTTTATCTCCGCGTGCAGCTCAGTCCATCTTAGCGTTCCATACCTTTTCTACCTTTTTGTAGTCGAGGCCGCTATTAGACTGTTAACTGCTGACGCAAGGACTTTTTTACCTCAATCGTTTTCCCAACCTATTTTACCTCCAACACTTTTCACTGTTTTGGTTTATGTACTTCCTTTCCTACAGTGACAGTTTCAGTACTTCCTGACTATTTGCTTAAACGTTTGCATTACCCATTTTATAGGAGAAGCCTTTTCCATACCGTCCAGTCCATTTTTAGTTTCCATACATATTTCTACCTTTTTGTAGTTGAGTTTTGCTATTAGACAGTTAACATGTCAACTTCTATTACTTCTTTCTGCCTTTACTACAACCCTTCAAATGGCTCCTACCACGACGAACATCCGCACGTCAGCAACTGAAAACCCTAATAGAGTTAACGTTACACATGCAGAACAGGCAACTGTGGAGGAGCACATAATATCTCCAGTTACAGATGATCATATAGTGTGTACTTTTCACCTCTGCTTTGCGTCTTCTGCAATGCCAACCGGCAGTTCTGCAAAGGCTGCAAAAAAACCAGGCGAGGCAACCTTAGCAGGCGTTCTAAAAAAGCCTCACCAGCTAAGGGGAAATGGAAGCAGGATTCCATCGAGTGCACCTCCTTGGGGGAGAAGTGGCTAGCGTCTACTTCAACCTCTGCTTTGCAGTCTTCTGAGTGCCGTGGCAATGACCGACCCGGCAGCTTTGCTAAGCGTGCCAAGATACCATGGCGAGGCAACCTTAGCAGGCGTTCTAAAAGAGCCTCTGCGGCAAAGAGAAGGCAGGAGGAGGAAACCGAGGTAGAGGCCTCCCAGTCAATCTCAACGGAGGCAGTATGTTTAGTCACATGAAACACTTGGTGAGCGTAACTACCATTTGTACTGCAAATCAGTTTACACATGTTCCTTGAAAAGTAAGAGGACACTACCTAAACACTTGCAAGACAACAAAAAAGCGGCTTCATCACAAGCACTTTTGTGGTCTTGACAGAGCCTGCATCGAAAAGCTACTCACAATGAAACTTCCATTCGAAAGTCCCAGGAGACCACGGCTGAGAAAACCGCACGTAACACAGTGAAAACTGCAGCAACGTCTATTCGACGGTCCCAGGAATACATGGCTGAAAAAACCGCATGCCATGCAGCCGGCACCACTGCAATTTCTGCTGCAAGGGCGTCGGAAAGTTACGCGCAAAAGGCGGCAACGTGATGCAATTTCAACTTCCTCTGCTAGAGCTGTAGCCTACTGAAAGGCTTGAAAAGTTGCAGACTGTTAACCAGCGCCACCATGCACAGTGAGGGCTCTGTAGCCCACCAAAGTAGTTTTGGTTTAAGCTGACATTCAATTTTGAGCCAGTTTTGAGGCTTTCCGGTCGCAAAGACCTCCAAATAGGATCCATGTCAGTTGTCTGTGGGCATTGCAATGCCAAAAAATGGACTGGAGAGTCTGCAGGTCTGTGTTGTTCAGACAGTAAGGTACAGTTGCCACCTTTTCAAGAGCTACCTGCTCCGTTGAAAGCTCTGTTGGAGGGTTCCAGTCCAGACTCCAAACATTTCCTCGCAAAAATCAGACAGTACAATTGTGCCTTCCAGATGACTTCTTTTGGTGGTAATGCCTTCCGCATAGTCAGTTGGAATCCCACCTTCAAGGTTCAAGGTCAGGTTTACCACCGGACTGGGTCTCTTTTGCCGGAAACTGCCACTGATTCGGCCTTTCTACAAATATACTTCATAGCTGACTACAATCAACAGGCAGATGCCCACATGCACATTATTCCCGAGAATGATACAGGCCAGGACTATCATCCTCGCAGGGATATCATAATGAGTCTCCTACAAATGCTCCACGAGACAAACAGCTATGTCCACAGTTTTAAGTATGCTCTCGAAAATAACACTTCTTCTGATTTCATTATTGTAATTGATGCTGACAAACGGCCTCAGGGAGAGCACGAACATTGTTAAATGCTCCCGCAAGTAACGAAATTTCTGTCATTGTCAGCGGTGATCAGCACAACAGACATGACATTGTTATCAAATCACGCGGCAGTGGGCACCGAAGAATCAGTGAAATGCACCAGTCCTACGATGCACTGCAATACCCACTTCTCTTCCCTTATGGAGAAGATGGGTACCACTTTGGCATTCTGCAAAATGGGTCCACCTTAAAAACAGTGTCTTGCAGGGCTTTCTACGCCTACCTATTCATGTTACATGAGGGTGCATTCAATCATCTTCATCGAAGTCGGCAACTTTTCCATAGATTCATAGTAGACATGGCTGTTAAAATGGAACCTGAAAGACTGTTATATCAGATTGAATCAGACCAAGTTGCGCTGCGACACTTACATTCACCTCCGTGATGCTTTACGAAATGATGCTGATCCACGCAATATAGACAAGATGTGCATACTACCTGCAACGTTCACAGGCAGTCCACAATACATGCACACGATGATGCAAGACGCGATGACATATGTTCGTAAGTATGGCCGACCAGACCTATTCATAACTTTCACGTGTAACCCAAAATGGTACACAATTGCTAAAGAAATTATGCCAGGGCAATCGGCCAACAACCGTCCAGACCTCACTGCACACGTTTACCATCTGAAGTTGGGAAAACTAATGCATGTGATTACAAAGGGTCAGGTTTTGGGGGCTTTTTGCTGTTGCATGAACACTATTGAGTGGCAGAAACGCAGCCAGCCTCACGCACATATACTAATTTGGCTGTGCGACAAGATTGAGGCCACAGAAATTGATCATCTTATTTCTGCTGAAATTCCTGATCCGTCGGCTGACCCTGAATTGTACGAAATAGTGACAACCAACATGATTCATGGTCCCTGCAGGTCACATTACAATTACACCAGCTGTCACAACAGCCACGGCAAATGCACCCAGCAATACCCATGAGATTTCATGAGCGAAACCATTACTGGGAGATGATGGTTATCCACTGTACCGGCTAAGGAGTCCCGCTGAGGGAGGATTTACAGCCGTGGTAAAGGGCCACCAAGTGGATAACAGATGGGTAGTGCCATACTGTCCCCTGCTAACAAAGGCGTTCAATGTGCACATCAATGTTGAATATTGCCATTCAGTTCACTCCATCAAGTATGTAAGCAAGGACATCAACAAAGGGAGTGATGCTGCAATGTTTCGTATTAGGCAGGAAGGTTCCGTACATAGACGAAATCCAGGACTTCCTTGCAGGGCACGTCATTAGCAGCACAAAGGGCCCTTGGCACATATTCAGTTTCCTAACTAGCGATGTTGGGTCCGTCGAATTTTCGAATTCATTGTTAGTCCTTGGCAAAGTTATTATTCCAGCGGGCACTAATGAATTTGTAAATGTCCAAGGGTTGTCTACAGTGGTCACAATGCCAGCAACACTCAGGGAATCAGTTTTTTCTGATCTTAAACCAAGTACAACAATATTGAGTGGCTTGCTGGGCAGGCAATTCTTGCCCCAAAAACACCACTGTGACAATCCTTAATAGACAGTTTCTGGAAACTGTGCCAGGGGTGTTCCACGTTTACAAATCCATTGACAGAACTCCAGACCCCGCTGAAATGGCGAAATTTCTAGTGGAGTTATTAAACAGTCTCCACCCCGCTGGTGTCCCTCCTCACATTCTGGAACTGAAAGTGGGGATCTCGGTTATGTTGCTTAGAAACCTGTGTCCACCGAAAGTCTGTAATGGGACCAGGATGGTTATTCAGACCCTACACCCAAACATTATTGAGGCCAAAATTATAACTGGCTGCAATTTTCTTGCATGGAAAGGAAAAATGGAATGGAATTGGCTGAGGACTTCAGTGTAGACCACATTTTCAGCTTTTTGTGAGGGTGAATAAAGGAACACATCATCGCGCATGCTGACTCGAGAGCAGGCTACGTAATGTTGGCCGTATGAGAAGCACTGCTCCTCTAAGTGTACACCAGTGACAGACAGTGTTTACCCTTGGGCCTTATTAATTGTCATAGCAAAACAGGGTACAAATGGGAATGGGGATCTTCTGAAAGTGAATGGTACATCGGCATCTGATGGATACAAATGCATCCTTGAGATAAGCATTTGCTCCCCTTTACCGCATTACTGTGAAGCATTGAACTCATCGCCAACTAATGTATAGTTACAAGCTTCAATTGTCTCTCCTCACATCACCATACCATATGTACAGAAATGAATGACCCTGACCAGATTACAGGCCCTTTTGTGCAGACCCATTCATGCTGCAAAAAAAAATAAAATAAAAAAAAAAAAAAAAAAATCCTGCCATCAGCCGTCAGTTTTTGACTTCTTTTCACGCCCTGGCTGCAATTAACGTCAAATGTTGATTCCACTTCCGACATTTACGGTGTCAATTCGTAACGGAGACAGATTTTCAATTTGGACTCAGGCTTTCAAAAAATTGGTAAATCAGCTGGTACTCTGGTATTTGGGTGGATTACATTCTAAAATTTCAGGCGTTCTTTACAATTCAACCAGAAATTCCTACACAGCCCAGTTAGAGGTGCCTTGCATAGAATGCCGTGTGACCCCGTCGTGACTCAAAAATCGATACAAACCTCCATGTTGACCATGCCCTCAGCAATCCATTTCCCATTTCTTTAAACTTTGTTCTTTCTCCCAGGTCGCACCCCAGATCCGATTTTTCAATTTACGTCATTGTGTCATGCCGGAGCCCGATTTTTTATTTGGGACTCATACTTTGTAAAAAAAAAACGATTAACTCACAGGTGATGCGGATTTTGGGGGTTTTAAGTTGAATGCCTTACCTGCACTACGTGGCCCAGTGCATCTAAGCTTTTCACCTCATTTTGGACCCTGTGCAGTTGACTTCATGTTGTTAAACACTTTTGAGCTCTTTTTATTTGAACTTAAAATAAGATCAATGTATGGTTTCCAAAGTACCGGGTTAACAAAACAAGGGCAACAACAACCCCGCCCAAGTAGTATGACCAGTCTCAATATTTCAGGAAAATGGGTTGGGTGTGAAAAAGTATTTGTTGTTAACATTGTTTTCTCATTCAGTTTTTCCAGTTACGAGTCCTTTTTTAAAGCTGATCGTTTTGTGTTCATTTTGTTTAGTTCTTTTTTCCTAACAGATTTAATGTTTAGTATAGAGCTTAGAAAAAATTCCCAGTGTGAGATAGGCAAGAAGTAAGGCATGTAGCAACATCAGCATGGCAAAGGGCACTCCTTTAAAGGCAAGGAAGGGCAAAAATATTTTAAGTCAAGTGATAGCAATTGCTGTATGAGTCGCACGATTTTTGAATCAAGCACAGGCAACGCCAGGCGGGCCATGTTGCTAGTACAATATATAAGTGGACACTAGGGTCAACACCAAATGAGGACAGTCTATTTCATGCTTGAACTCAATCTTCAGGCCATGTATTGTGTTTTGGCTCAACTATATATATATATATATATGCTGATTAATGGTATAAGTAGCAAGGTCTATTGTATAATCCTAATGGTTAGGAATAATTGTAAATCTGAATACGGTTATTTGTAGCTATTTTATAAAGTTTTGTTAACTTTTTATTCATTACTTATTATTAATTACTTAATTATTTGTTGGTGATTATTATTACATATTTTTTATGCGTGTGTTTGTAGTTTGTTAATTTGTTTATTATTTACTTAATTTGATTATTTAAATTTTTTCAGCACAGTTATGTGTTTAGTTTAAAGTATTGGCTTTGTCTAAAGTATGTTACATTATCTGAGTTGTATATAATATATATTTTTCATGGTGGTATTGTACAATTTTTGATTTTTAAGTAGCATAGTAAAACAATTTGTTTTTGTGTCTGCATTTTCAGATAAGTTCTGATCATTTATTTAGTATATTGTGTTGGTCTGGAAAGGTGATTATAGTTATTTTCTCCTCCAGACTGAGTTTACATCTTTTTTGTATTTATTGTTGTAGGCTGATGCCGTTTTCATTATTTTCCATGATATTTTTGGTATAATTTGTTTTTTGTTTTTAATTTCACATATATGATTAGAAAGCATATTTAATATTTATAAAAGATGTTTTATATGCACAGTTTCTTTTTCCAGGGTCCTTCAATTACTCCTATGTATATTTTTCTTAGTTTTCTGCTAATTTTACAGTGGCTTGGTAAATTATTTTGCAAGCAATTGCCATTTAAGGGACATTCATTCTTCCCTCTGAATTTACAGGTAGGTT